CCCCCCCAACAAATTTGTAGATGGCTATCAAATCCCCTCTCAGCCTTCTCCTACAGAGGCTGAAAAGATCCAGGTCCCTCAACCTCTCCTCACAGGACCTATCCTACAGGCCCCTAATCATATAAGTGGCCCTCCTCTGGATCCGCTGAAGGTTATCCACATCCTTCTTGAAGTGCAGCGCCCAAAACTGACTGCAGTAGTCCAGCTGTGGCCTTACCAGTGCCTCATAGGGGGAAGTATCACCCCCCAGACCTGTTTGCAATGCACCTATCAATGCATGATAAGAGTACAGTTAGCTCTATTGATCATTTTGTCACATTGGCGACTCACATTCACCTGAGTCAACTATGACTCTGAGATCCCTTTCTGTTGCTGTGCTGCTTAGAAAGTCATCCCCCAATCTTTGTGTGTGTTGATGATTCCTTCTCTTGAGGTGCAGTACTCTGCACTTATCCTTGTTAAACTGCATCTTATTTTGGTCTGCCCACTTTTTCAGCTTGTCCAAATCCACCTGAATCCACACCCTGCCCTCTACTGTCTGCTTTGCCCCGTAATTTGGTGTCATCTGCAAACTTGAACAGTGTGTTCACTACACCCTTGTCCAAATCAGATGAAGATGTTGAACAGCACTGACCCAAGGACTGAGCTCTAGGGAACACCACTGCCCACATCCTTGCAGGTTGCTACTGACCCATCCACCACCACTCTCTGGGTGCGTCCCATCAGGCAATTTGCCACCCACCTACCTGACTGTATAATTATTATCTAAGTCAGAGCCACTCAGGATTTTTTTTTAAATGAGAATGGGATGTGACACTGTATCAAGAGCTTTTTTAAAATCCAAGGATATGACATCCACCTCGATTCCCACATCTAAGCAGTTTGGGACCTGGTTGTAAAAAGAAACAAGGTTTGTCAGAAAGGATCTACCCACCATGAATCCATGCTGGTTGCCTTTCAGCATTACTTTTCCTGCTAGACTCTCACAAACGTATTCCTTAATCGTTTTTTCATCTCTGTGCATGACAGCAGATATCCAAGTTTGAAAACATTGGTCAGTTTAAGTAATCTTCCTTGCTGTCATTAGCAGAGGCACTCAGGCCAAAACTATCATTTTTGAGATGGAGTTGTCCTCATCTTTGAAAGTCACTGTCCTTTGGTCCAAAATTCATTAACCCTTAGGACATGCTGCAAAACCCAATTTTTAAACAGTTAAAAAAAAATGGAGGGACAAGTTCTTTGTATAGTAGTTTTACTCACTGTCTAACAGAAAGCAACAGCCTTGGTTCTTTTCAAACTGGCAAGCAGCTTTTGATTTACAGGAGGGCACATGTAGTTTAGGATAGGCATCAGATTTATAAAATATTTTATAGCTCAAAATTTGTCCTTAAACCCTTTGTAGATCAGCACTGATCTACCATATTGAGATGCTTTAAACTAAACAATGCTGTTAAGTTTAGCTGTTACTCTAATAGAGAAATAGATTTTGTTAAAGTAAACATTTGTATGGGCCTATCTATATTTTTATGGCATTTGAAAGTTGTGCATTTAATAGTTCCACTATGAATAGCTTGCACAATACAGAAACATGACGTGATTTTCTCTGCCAACCGTGACCATATGCTTCAGTAAGTTAATCATTTTTCAACAAGCATTCAGCTTCTAGTAGCAAAACAAGATCTACTCGTTAAAAATAAACAAACAAACAAACCATCTACACCACAAACCTAAGTTAGTGTTAAGCTGCAGTACACCATAATGAAATTACAGTTAAAGATTCTATAGGAAACCAATGGAGACAAGAGAGGAAACAACACTAGCCTACAGAACAGTGACAAGCATGAAGTGTTTTTTAAAAGCTATGTCTCCACTGGTTTGTGTTTTGAGCATAATAAAACTGAACAAAGAAAATCTTAAGCGTTTATAAAATGCAAGTTACTCCCCAAAAGTTCATCATTTAATACAATAAAAGTCTTTGTCTGTCTGTCTGTAATGCTTTTGGGCAACTGTGCATGCGCTGCCAAGAGGGCAGGCGGTGATTGGCTGCACAGCCCCAAGTTCAAGCTGCTTCTGGGGAAGTTTGTGGTGGCATTGAACACACCCCAGCTGAATGAGCAGTGGGGCTTCCCCACACCTCCCTGCCTGAGGGCAAAGGGTGGGGAAGGGAATCATGCTAGCGGCACCCCCCTGCCCCGATGCCCCCCTAGAACAGCCAGCTGGGAGGGGAAGGCAGACACAGGCTAGGAGAATATGGAGTGGCAGGGGAGGGTGAGTAGAGTGGGGCCAGACCTGGAGCAGGTGGGGGCGGGGGGGGCAGGGAGAGTGGAAACACACACAACAGGGGTAAGTGGAGTCAGGCTGGACCCGGAGCAGCAGTAGGGGGGAGTGGGGGCAGGGAGGCGAGGTACAGTGGGGCCAGGCCCAGCAAGGGGGGGGCCAAGATATGGTGGGCTGGGAAGATATAGCAGGCCTGACCTGAAATGGTGGGGGGTGGACTGACACTGGACCGGTAATGGCAGGGGGTGGGTGGAGCAGGGCACAGGCCCAGACCAAGAGCAGCTGCAGGGGCTGGACACAGAGCAGCAAGGGGGAGGGTGGGTAGAGCAGCCCCAGACCTGGAAGCAGACCTCAGACAAAATGTTTTAAGTGGAGGACTGACTGTACTGACATGGCCAAACAGGGAGTTAAAGGTTAGTTTGTAACTATTACTATATTTTCACCCCGAGAGAAGTTTAACATTAACCCCTCATTTCCCCTTAATGCCTAAAACCCCTGTAGTTTAACCTTCAGTAGTTATGTCATTGACCAATATAGTTGTAGCAGTCAACAGAGCAGTTTAATTTAATGTCTGGGTATGTTGACAAGAATATGCAGTACCCCGAGTACAGAAGCACGTTTGATAGGTCAGAAAGATTCGGACAACTTAACATGTACAGCACGAATCTAAAATTGTCAAGAATTACGAGTCAACTCTGGTTCCTAAACAGCAGGTTCTGTTATGCTATGGGGTGAAAATGGAAGCTTCTCTGCAGAAAAACAGACAATTTTCTATATTATCTAAGATTTGGCTTCAAGATAAATATTTACTTTTCTTTAAAAAGTCACAATAAGAAATTTTCCATTTTACATATTTTATTATATGCCAAAATTTACTAAATATGGGAGCTTGCTTGTATATGAGTTACTCAAAAACGTGTTTAGGTAAAGATTTTATTAGTAATCTGACTTCAGACTTTTGTTTTTAGGTCCGTTCAGTTCAAACAAGCTGCAGAGATAATTAATGTTGTGTACAAGCAGTAACTGAGAAGAGCTGCAAAGTTCAAGGAGTTTTCAAACATTACAGTTCATAGACCTCAAATCAGTAAACATAATACAAAATAGAGAAATCACAAATAAAAGCAGTCACAATATAAAATAGCAGCTCCACATAGCCTTTTCAAGTTTTAATTTTATTCAGAAAGTGTCACTTAGGTTCAGTTTGCCTCATTCTTTGAAGCCTCATCAAAATTTTCAACAAGATCTAGAAAGAGAAGAAATGTTGAAATAGTATTACAAGTCTCTCAGCACTTTCACACCAAATCTAGAGACAATATTGAAGAATTTTGTAATTTTAGCATTTACAAACTTTCAATATAAACTATATAACCTAATATGGCTTTATAAAAATATCTTTGACTTATCTACTTCAACATTTAATACAACTGCCAATGTCATTTGCTTCGTTAGAAGTTATACTTTCTAAGCTACAATTAAGTATGTTCATATTTGTGTGATGGGGACCAGAGGGAACATAGTTTCTTCCCCTCTCAATTAAAAGTGACTCTTATCTCATCCATAAGAAAATAGTATTTGCAGTTTTACAAAAGAGAAATGAAATAGAAGCTCAAACTAATGGTCCATCTAGTTTTACACGCTGTTTGATGGCAGTGAGTACCAGATGCTTGGAGGAAGGTGTGAGAAATTCCACTGCAGACAACTATGAAATAATTTGTCCACAAGAAATTTCTAACAGCAAGAGACTACCTGATCTCCAAAAGGCATGCAGATTTATATTTTTCATACAAGAACATGAAAAACAATGTACTCACATTATGTAACATTTATTTTAAATCCAACTGATTTTTAGTTTCAGTGCTATGTTACATTGCACAGGCTCCACATTTTATAGGAAGACTCATCCTTTCCCCTCACTTTCCATTTTGAATTTGTCCTTACCTGGAACTTCATCATCATCATCTTCACCAGTCGCAAGTGGTGCTTTTCCATCCACAGCTATAATTACAAGAAATAAGCTTAAATATACTACATTTTACAAAAAGCTTTAGTACAAAAAGGTATTTTGTAATGGAAAGCCAAAACTGTAATCTGGAATTACATATTAAAAATATGTATTTTTTAAATCAGGAAAGAGCCCAAATTTAATCAAACAATTTTGTAAAGTAAGACACTACACTTCTGTTGGAAACTTGAAAGTGTTACATTCTTCTGCTACTCATCACATCCATTAGTAGAGAATTAGCACATCAAGAAACAAAAAAAACCTCTTATATCTCAATGTAATCAACCCTGCACTGCACATTAAGCTACCTGTACTGTCAGATAAAATGACTTATCCAGACAAATGCTGGTATTTCACCCATACTTATTAAGCACCAGTTTAACCAACTCTATTTAGTGACTCTCCATGATCACCCCATTTCCAAACATTAATAAAATAAGGAAGTAATCTTTTACCACCCCTTCCTACATATGGTAGAAATATTTAGGTTGAAATAGATTTCCGCTGGAGGCGATTCAAGCACCTACTTTGAACACCTTCAAGAGACATCTGGATGTTTATCTTGCTGGGATCCTATGATCCCTGCTGACTTCCTACCCCCTGGGGCAGGGTGTTGGACTCGATGATCTTCCGAGGTCCCTTCCAGTCCTAATGTCTATGAAATCTATTTTCCTACCCAGCATGATTACACTATGTCCCAGCATACTAGCCCTCGCTTAATCTAGTTACCACACATAACAGTGAAGATGCAGCAGCACAGTTTTTATAGTATCCTAGCAAGAGTGCAACAACACTTAGAGTTTATAATTTAGTTGCTAGCACATTCCAAAATTCATGATACTGTATCTTCACTGGTGTAACCTAAACTGTTGTAAACTAAACTAGCACAGGTATGTCAACACATGCTACAGCTACACCATAAGGAGCCTGAATCATGTGTATACAGGAAAGTGATGTCCTCAAATCAGCCAATCAAACCTTCCCCAATCTTCACAAATGCTGAGAGCAGGCAGATGTCAAAGTCAGGCCAAAATTACTAGATCAGGACTCTGGGAAAGCAAGAATGAATTCAAGTCTCATTCCTCTGGATACAAACACCAGGAACATACTGCTGCTACCCTTCTTTCTGGTTAGACCAGCAGAAGGCTGTTAGTTTTATTTTAAAACTTCAAGAACAGGAAAGCCATAACTAGTTTCACCTGCTGGAAAACAATGATGCTAATAAACCTTCCCCCTCATTCTCCATACTGTCCATAAGTGCCCTAACTACTGCACAGGGAAAGGCTAGGGTTAACAGAGGCACCCTCCTCCTATTTCTAAAGATGAACCAAAAAAGGAGCAGGAACAGGAAGATCCTGCAACTTGTCATTTCTCCTCTCCTCCAAGCCCTGCCCTGTTACCCAGCAACATGTATGCGTGATTATAGGGATGGGGTGGGGGAAGGGGGGTGGAAGCAACCAAAATGCTTCCTTTTTTTCTACTCACCTCTGCACACATGGCAATAGTGGCACCAATCTTAGCACCTTTCCACATTACATCAGAACTTCAGGATAGCTAATAATGCCACTTGCCGCACCCCTTATCACATTAATCAAAGAATTTGTAAACTGAAACCCTGACCTCGCTACTTCTCACCAATTCTGCTTCCTCACCTTATGGCTACTGAAAATCCTTCCCCAGACACCCGCAAGCCTTACTGGAGCTTGCAAGCACAGCTCCAGAAGAGGCTTAAGTGAGCCAATCCAGTTTGAGGCTAAATACATCTTTTCTAGACAACTTAAAGTACCAAAATTTAACAAGTGTGTGCAATTAAGTTACCTATCCTAATACCTTAAATTTTCCATTAGTTTAATTTTCTAGAATTTGCCCAAATGTAATGCAGGTTAACAGATGTGTATACTCTTCTATTTTGACAGGATCCATGCTGGAAATACACGTGCAACCAGGATCTAAGAATCAAGTTTTTAAACTACACTTGTTTAAGTAAGAGAGTTTTGCAATGTATGGGTGGAACACTGAACTTTTCCTGAAGCTCACTGCAGTGATGAACATAAGCTACAAAGCAGCTTACAACAAACAGCAGGTTGAGGTTGCTACTTACGTTGCTTAGGTAAAGCCTCTGCCAATCTCCTCAAGCTAGTCAAACTGTCAGCTCCAAGCTGGTTTAAGATGCTAGGAAGCATTTCTGTGAGCTGCTTTGTCTCAGCATGGCCTGTAATAGTGAAAGTGTTAGCAGCCAGAGATGCCTGAACTTTAGGGTTGTTGAAGTGGATGACTGTCCCCTGGTTGGTAAACATATTAACCTGCAAAGGGAAAAAAAAAAAAGAGTCAGTTATTTAAACAATAATTGTGTAATTCCTATTACAGCCAAAACCATTGCTTGAGCTCTAATTTAATGACGGCTTACTTTCCACCTGTATAGTAGAAATAACAAAATAGGTTTCTACACAAGAAAAAAAAAAAAGATTTAATAAAGCAGTTACCTCTTCAATACCAGAGATGTTGTTGACTCCCAGTTTCTTTAAAGAGAACTGAAGTTTCTTGTCATCTGCTGTAGCTGTTCTATGGACAACCTTCTTCTTTCTGCGAGCAGTACCCTTTGGGAAAGAGCACATGCTCCATTTACAGAACTGTTTTAATATAACTAAGGACCTTTTAATTTTACACATCATTCACTGGACAATCACTGTGTGAAGTTATATAACCAAGAAATTGGTACAGTTGGCTCAAAATTCCCAGTTTTGTGCCCGTGGTGTTAAGTAAACATTTTGCCAAGTTTCTGAGCCTTACTAAGCATACTTTTTTCCTAAGAAAGTTCACTGACTTTCCATAAAACACTTATTTCTTAAAAATGAAGGGGGAAAAAAAGATTCTTTACTTGGACTTAATCCAACTTCTGATACAGTCCACACAACTTTAAGGAACTCATTGTAGTGAAATCCACTATAAAATATAGGGTGCAAAAAAAATTTCCTTAAGTTAAGGACACTCTGTAACTCTGCTTGCACCACCAGCTTTCTACAAACACAAAAATGTTGATTTCTGGCAAGATGCAGTTATTTGGCAGGGCTGTAGCCATTTTCTTCCCCAAGGCAGAAGAACAGATGCACTTCATGAAGCAAAATGGCTTCAGTGACCTTCAATGTAAGGAGATATTAGAATGTCCCCAAATACATCAAAATCTAGGTTCTCACTGTCTGGAACTGGCAGAAGGCAAGGTAGATATGCACATTTATAGACTAAGATGTGCAAAAGATCAGAGTGTAAGTCAGCGGTGGACAGGATGCGGCCCGCCAGGCCATTCTATCTGGCCTGCGGGACCCCTAAAAAAATTTTTAGAAAATTCATATTTATCTGCCCCGGCTGCCTGTCATGAGGCCCTCGATGGCTTGCCAAAACTCATGCACAGCCCTCCACCCAAAATAACTGTTCACCCCTGGTATAAGGAGAGAAAAATCAGAATACAAGAGAAGTGGAGAGGGAGAAAGACCACACACACACATCCCATACTTAGTTTGCATGGATAGCAACTGCTTTTACCTTTAAGGAACTGAAGCTTGTTAATGCAAACTCCACAAAACATGTCCCAGCATGACCAATCTCTATGTTTGGACTCCACCTCTCCATTAAGAATGACTGGCTGCTGTTGGCCATATACAAGATATGAAAGATGCATCTGACTACTTCACTTAAAGATAATCGCTGCCATTTAGCAATAACTCTGAAAACTATATCCTACTATGTGTAATTTGCAAAGTGATACAGTAATCCTATATTTCATAACCCAAATGGATTACTTTGCCTGAATTAGATCCAAACTGAAATACTGACAAGCCAGCCTTACAAAACAGTCAGAAACGTTTTCCACCCCAGAAAGTTACTACTATCATTTTCTGTAAGGAAAGAAAATTGACTTTTCTTCATGAGTAGACCAACGCTGGTCTCAAATGATTTTATGCTTCTGTATTAAAGTACTTCTAGTAGCACTGGAATCCAAAGTCCAGTCTACTTTAAAGTCAGAAAAAAGGAAGTTCATTTATTAAAAGTGTTGCTACTCTTAAGACCCATAGGAAGGCTAAACTGGAATATCTCCAAATACATTCTAAACTCCACTGCTTTTAATGAAATTCATGAAGCATGCCACAATTTCTGTTTACTAGGAGCAAGCCCAATGTGTGCATTTAAACAACTGATTTACAGATATCTGCAATCAGTACAATTACATCTGGTATACCTGCAATAGCTATGTAACTAAATGCCTCATCCAAACAATATAGCAATATGCAGTTGAACAAGTTTTTCTACATACTTGTGAATAAGCTATGATCTGCAAAAATTAAAACCACACACATGCCACATAACCACTCTACACAGCCTGTGGTTTTTTTAAGTTTGCTTGGCCCTATAATAAAAAATTTTAAGCCACTTTCAGAGAAAATAAGAGATGCCTTAAAAAAAGTCTGTACATCTAATCCCTCTACCCAGGACCTCTTAAGCATCTCTCAGTAACATTTCATAGAAGCAGGACATTCCCCTGATTTAGGGTGGTTGATCTGTGTTGTGTCAGGGTTAATGATAGTTTTATGTAGAGTTTAGATTACGGATTGCATAGGATGGTTTGGATAGGGATGATCCTGCCTCAGGCCCCCTAGGGGGTTCCTAGATCCCTGGAGGTCCCTGCCAGCCTTACTTCTCTATGATACCCTACCAGTATTAATTTTACACAGATTTAAGTAGGTCCTTCCCAACAACCCTATTTTATAAAGTATGTATGTATAAGAGCTGCACATCTCCATTCATGTAATATTCAATTCTAAATGTTTATTTAAAAGCAAATCAAAATGGTGTAAAATAAATGGAGCCAACAGTTAACAACAGTCCAGGTTTAGGTAGGGAAAAAATGTGTCTATTGTTTTCATTTGGACTTTACTGTAGAAAAAAATGGAGAGGGTCTTCCTCAGAAGCAGGCCCTGCAGCTCCTTGCAGTAACATTGGGGGGGGGGGGGG